TTGCCAAGAGCACAGTGAGCCAACCCCGGGCCTGTACGTCTGTAATTTACTGAAGGGAGGGGACAGGTCTAATTTATGCACTTGGCCCTCAGACCAGGGTTTACCTCAATGCTTTTCAATGCACAAATTCTGTAAATCTTTCTGGGAGAAGGAATGTCAGCTCCCGCCAGGCTCTGGACATGCCGAAAATGTCGCTCGCACAGATGATGACTTGTGTTTAATTTGCTGTTGTGGATGGGCCTGAACCAAACTCCTTTTCTTGTTCCAAACATCTCTAAATTTAGGAGGCTTTGGCAACCCAGTCCAGATATGAGTCAATAGTTCTCTGTGTTCCAAAGAATAAGTACTAGGCTGCAAAGGTGGGAGTCGTTATGTAAAAGGGATAATATAAGGGAATATCAGTATTAATACCTTTGTTATGCTCAGAGCTAGAGGTTTGCCAAGGCTTAAGTGGACTCAGGATGAGCTGGACACATCCAATTAACATAAGTAATGTGGCTTTTCTTGAACAAATGTGACTTCTCAGTGCACATTACAGCTGCTGAGTGATCCAGCTCTGCTGCATCTGGTCCTCAGAGGGTTACAAATGTGTATTCTAGTGCTGCAGCCTGCTCTTATTTCTGCATTTGTTTGGTACTAAATAAATGGGTTCTGATTCTCAGTGCTTCTGTCAGGGAAGTAAAAAATATTGGTGTGGCTTACTGATGGATATAAAAGCCCCAGAGAAAAAAAACACAGAATATTAAATTAAGAATTATGTATACACATGTAAAGTAAGAGTGCTGGACCTCCCAACCCTTTTCCTGATGTCACTGCTGTGTTCACAAATTCTGCATCAAGTAGGTGTCTTCTAAGGCTCTTCTCAGTGAATGTCTCATCTGAGTTTCTTCCACTGATGCCACAATTAACACTGACCACGTTCTGCTGCTCCTCTCCCTTGTCCAGAGGGAAGACATCCATGTGTTTATAGTGGCACTGGGGTACTGGCCCAGGCAGGACTGGTGGAAGGTGAATTCCTTGAGCTGTGAAGTTGTTTTGTCAAGTGGGCAATTCTGCTCAGTTTCAAGAAGAGAAAACAGGATTTCCTTCTGCAGCCTCCTACAGCACCCTTCATTTTCTTTAAATGTTTTGTGATTCCCCCATCATCACGTACCAGTCTCACTCCAGGATTATTCCTGAGGGACTGGGATTTACCACTGGCAGATAAAAAGAGAGAAATGCAGTGGCATGGAGGAAGATTATTCCAAACCCTCTTCTGGCTTCCCAGGCTGGCAAGGCAGGCAGATCTCCAGCTTTCTCTGTGGTTCACCATGATCTGCACCTCCACTCCCTCACAGGGCCCCTGACTGTAATTCTGGAATTGTCCCTTCCCCCTCAGTGCTCCCTTGCTGCTCTGCACCATGCTGGCTGTAGCACTGTGGGAGAAGCAGGTCTGTGCCTTTTTTTGTGCTGACTGAAGTGCTGAGCACTCTGAATTACCCCCCTGGAAGCAGTAGGCAGAATCATGGAGCAGGCACAATGTGCCACATGAGGATCAGCTTAGCGAGCTGGATCAGTGACACTTTGCAGCAGAATAAAAACTGCTTCTTCTCTTTCCCAGCTGTTCTCCCAAGCACTTTGAGCATTCATTCGCCTCAGCGCGCGGGAGATTTACGTATCTCACTTCCATTGACACGGCAGAAGGGACCCTCCTCACTTGCAGATTTGTTCTTTTAATAGGCATCCAGCACAACTGGGAATTAAGTACATGTGTGTGTCCAACAGAGAGGAGACCAGAATCAGCTGTAGGCACAAAGAACTGCTTAGGAGGCCCATTTTTTTGTGCTGATTTGGTAACTCAGGGGACAGCCAAATCTTCCTTTTTAGGAATGGGGAGAAGAGGAAAAACAGAGGACATCATCTTCAGATTGTATCACCCGTGGAAGGGGAGAGATAGCAGGGAGAGAACTCTCCACATGAGGTTCTTCTCTCCTTGATGGGGCAGCTGGAGCAAATAAGGTTCATCGTGGGCAAATGTGAGCTCCTTGTGCCTCCACTCAGAGCTGGCAGAGCAGCCGCGGTGTTTGGGGCTCTGAGTCAGTGAAACTTCCTTGGTGACTTCCTAATTGAAGTTAGAGATCCTAAAAGATACTGAGCGACTGTGGCACAGACCTGCTGCTCCCAGACTGAGAACTCTTACACTCCAAACCTCTTCCAGTTGTAGATCTTATTGCAAGAACATCATGGATTTGGGGAGAGACAGGTAAGGCCCTGTAGCCATTCTCACTATGAGAGATTCAGGGGTGAGTCACCTGTGCTGTGTAATGACAACACAAGCCCAAGGAACACGATCCTCAGCAAGGTCCTTTTAGAATTAGCCACACAAGAAGTTGAATCTTAAAGACAAAAGGACATGGTGCTAGGAGGGAAGAAGTGGCAATGACTGGAGGCCTTAATTTGATGCCAACCGGTATCTCAGAGAAAGCAATTTCCCAGAGGATTGTCAGAGATGCGAAATGAATTGTAAGAGCTGCTTTACAGGCATTTGTGGGCACACACACCTGCTTACAGCAGGGGAAAGACAGTGCGTAAATGTCTGGAATATTACATAAAAGCTGTCTGGTAGACTGGGCAGAGCAATTAAAATCCATCTCGCTTAAACGAACCCTGAGTGCAGGTCAAACAAATCTAATTTTTATTGTTCCTTAAGGAGATGTCTGTACAGGAGACAAAAGGGGGATGCAGCCGTCAGGTTAAAAAATCAAGATGCCTTTAAAAAAATTAAATGTTCACAATAGTGCTACAGCAAGCTGGATAAATGATATATTACAACGATGGTTTAAAACTAATTGATGACTAATGTTGTAATGCATTTGTAGCTACACTGATCTATTATATATCTTGGCCAAGCTGAAGGGACACTTCAAGGAGAAAAATTGCTAACTGTTTTAACCTGATGGAACTCGGGGAAAAAATAGTTACTTTACGAGATAAATGGAAAGGTTGTGACCTCCTAATGTACATCTGGGTCTTGCAATGCAAAATCAAATTATCATTAAACAGAATGTGATCTGTGATGGAATTAAAACAACTACAAACCAGCACAGAAGTTTCCTCAGAGAAACACAATAGCCCAGTTTGAGCTGGGAGCAGTGGCTGCAAAGCTGCCTGGCTAAAGAACTGGTGTAACAAGTTAGGATGGAATTGTTTTGCTCTGTAATGAAAGTTGGTTTAATTGGAGAGTGCAGGAAAAACGTAAGCATCTTTACAGCCATTTACATATGTAAGCCATTCTATAAACATTACTTAATTAGTGTATAAATCATTAACAATTTAGCCTAAGTCCTGAGTAAAGTGTCTCTCTGGCTCTTGCAGGGGAGACAGGAAGCCTCATTTTCCCCTCCTCATTTTTGTCATGCCTGAGGCTCATGCCCTCTGGGTTTTACCCTTACAGTTGGAATTTGGAGGAGATGTCAGTCAGGCTCTGCTTATTTTCACATCTAATTCATGCAAAAACCAGGTTTCCTCCTGAGGCAGTAAACTGGCCCAGATTTGCTTCAAAGTTTGGCCCAGGTTCAGTGAATGACTCACTTTAACTGAGGTACATCCATCTTCCTGGCTGGAACACGTGGTGGGAAGTGTTGTCAAAGAGCAGAGATCCCCTAGAACCACAGCTCAGAGCTTCAGGACCGTGCAAACCAAAAGCAGTGGCTCGTTCCCTCCCCTGCTTTCTTGTCACACAACATTAAGGACATTGAGTGGGTGTCCCAAACATTGCTGCTCAACCCAGGGTCCCAACCCAGGCTAAAAACACTGCAAAGGGCTGGGATGTACTGCTGGGAGCTGGGCTGGGAGGAATTTCAGCCAGAAGCCTCCCTGGTCCTGGGATCTGTGCAAAATTGTATGGAATAAGTCTGGCAATAGGTAACAGATAAAGATAACATTGTGGGCCATTGCCAAAATATGGATTACCTTGAACAGGCCATGATTAAAGGGCCAAAACCACCACTCTCACCCTCTGAATTGGCTCCCTCCAATAGGAGCATGTAAAATGAAAGAGAACAAGATAAGTAGGACACGCCCCACTAGAGGTGACACTAAGTTTCTTCTGCCCGAGAAAAAGTTAATGTAGCAAGGGCATGACCAGCCTGTGATATCATCTGAGAGCAGCTATTCCTCCACGACAGATTCACCTTCCAGTGGGTAGGGAAATACCTGCAATACCAACCTGCAAATATGTTGTACTTTGAAGGGTTTGATGTACCAAACCCCCCCAAATCCTTTGTATATTTTAACTGCTGTATATCAGACTTCCTCCACTGCATTTACTCAGTTTTGGTTTGAAGCCCAATACAGGCAGCAGCTTGGAAAATTGTTTTATAGCTCAAAATGGAGCAATTGGAATTTTAATTTGGGGGTGTCTTTCTTTTACAGGGGGACATTACTCTTGGTGCAAAATTTTAAGTTATTCAGGTCACAGTATTGGTATCAATTTTCAACATTTGGAAACTCAGTTGCACAAGGACCACTGAGCTGACTGAGAACATTTATTTTCTCAAAGGATGGCAAACAGTCACATCCATGGCTCTGTCTGGGAGATGTCTTTCCTTCACTAACATTTAAACAAAATAACTCAGACAGATAGTTTTTTATTCCACATCAATGTGATTTCTTAAATCTTCATGTTGAGTAGATAATCCTCAGATGGGCTTTTTTTAAAGCAGAAAAGCATATGAAACAGCTTTAGATGAAACTTTGAGCTGCCAGTTCATTTAAAAGCAATAAAGTGAGGAGGGAAAAAAACAACAGAGTTAACTTGAAGCAGGGCACTTGGCATTCAAGGTGACTGTGAGAGGTGGTCACGAAGGAAGGTTGCTCTCTCAGCAACCACGTCAGGTCCTGTGCCCACTATGGCAGAGTCGTGGCCTGCACATGGATTTGCTTCTTAGCTGCTGACCCTCAGTGGTCAGGATTCCATGGAAGGAAATATGGGACAATTATCTGCAATTCTAATTTTCCAGTCCCATATGTCCCAAGATGACAACTTCCCAGTGTTCTCCATTGCCACGGGGATGAGATGTCCACCAGAACACGCCATGGCATTTCCATGACTGCAACAGACTGGAGGTAAGAAAACTGCTCTGGTGTTTGGATACACTCACAAACAATGATCCCAGCAATCCTTGGAGAGGGTGGAGTTACGTACACAGTCACATATTCCTCCTCATTTTGGAACAATCAGATATAAAATACTCTAAAATAAGAATGCAGTTACCACTTGTTTCCTTCCTCAATTTCTTATCTCGCTTTATCACAACATTCGTAGCTGTGGCTGACAGAAATGGCAAATATGTCCAGTATTTCTGATTTTTGTCATGTCTTGCTTTTTATTTGAACTTTCAGCTTTTTTGACTGGCCAATGACTCAAAAAGTTAACTAAAGCCGTGATAGTTTTATCATAGCTTTGGGAAGACAAGCTGCAAAATCCAGAAGTTACCAAAGCAGAATGGGATTTTAAAGAATGCTTGAAGCAGGTTCATTCTGCTTCTTGTATGAACTGCAGCTGTGCCAAAGTTTTTTGTAACTCTTGTACGCACATATTCTACACATATTTCTGCCTATATTTTAATTTACTGAGAGCATTTGCTCCATTTGATTTATACTAAGGCTTTATGATTGTCAGATTAGTGTAAGAATTCAAGCAGGAAAATTAAATTGTACCTGTGATTGTCCTATCATTTTTCCATGTTCTTTCAGATATTATGTCAAGAGCCCAAAGGAGTTTTTAATGTGATGCACTGAATATTCTGACTTATTCATAGGAGAGCTCAGCATTGGGCACATCATTTACCAGCTCACTGCTGTCACAAGCTATTGCATCCTTCTTCCCTCTTGACCCAAGCTCGATTAATCTTTTCATAGTTTTGCTTCTGGTATGGTTTTGAAACAGTGTTGTTTTACCCAGGAAGCCTTAAGAACCTGAGCACCTGCTTCATGCTGTCTGGGCAGCTGAAACAACGGCACAGGGAAGGGAATAATCTCCCCCAGACCCTTGACAGCATCACATTTCCACCCCGTCACGGTGCCCGGTACGTGCAGCGCTGGCAGGAAGAGCTGGGGAAACTCCTGTTTGCTGGGCCATGACCTGTGGGGCTGCATGATTTTAGGAAATACCAGGTTAGCTCCAGGAGCAGGGAATTGTTACAGCTCTTTGTTCCTGCACAGAAGTTTTCAACATCAGTGAGAGCATCAGTGTGTGTATTCAGATTTCCATCTGTCATGCAATGCATAAATCCAAAGCACTCTGTGAGATCAGTCACGCCCAGAATATTTGAAGTTACCTAAAATGTTGGCGAATTAACATCTCACATTTTTCTCCAGAGTCCTGAGTGGTGCAGACATTCTGTTAATCATATATTGCAAGCTCAGGCAATACATTAAGTATGGAAAATAGGTTTATATAACAAAGATAAGGCAGAAGGAATTGGATCCACAAATGTCTTTCTACTCACTCTGTCTATAATAATTTCATTACACTTCTTTGGGGTTTATCCAGTTTTACTGTGACCACCTACTGACAATGTCTCTGAAAGGAAAGAAGAAAAAGCACGAAATTCTAACATGCAAGACATACAAAATAAATCCTGTGACGTTTTCTAATATGGGAATGTTCCTAAATGCCAGACTAAAACATCCCTCCAACGGTTTCTTTTACAGACTTCCCTTGTTCCAGAAACTTGGCCTGACTTAGGAGGAAACCCCATAGCTGTCCCTTAAAAGTTGAATTGCATCAGTGTGGGCAAGATGTTGGGCCAAATTCCTTAATGGTGCAATTCCATGAAAATCAGAAATCCTACACCAGAGCTGAATCTGCCCTGTGGTATAAAATGATCTCCCTGGAGGCAAGACTTTTGGAAACAGTATCATATTTTAATTCTAAACAGACAATTTGTTTTGGGTTGTATACAGAGCATGACAATCTCACTGCTATAGGAACCAGCTACATAAAAGGTGACTTTATCCCTGTTTCTTGCGCTGTTTGGTTTATCTGTGTGTGATTTGCAGGTAGCTACATGATCCTACACACTTCTTTTTATGTAATGGAATGAGCCCCTGCTCTGTTTAAGATTTTAAAAGATTACAGAGCTGGTGTTGGAACATTTGTACATTTTGCAATGAGTTAAGGAGAAAGGCTGCGTGTTGTTTATAATCTGGGAAGTACAGATCCCAGTTAATCTTACCCTTGGAGAACAGACACTTATATTTTTTTACAAATTAACAGATCCTGACTGATTGCCTCCCATGACTGTGCTCACCAGTTTTGGAATTCAAAGGGCAAAATAGGATCTGCCTTTTGTAGAAGGTGCCAGGAATGGCATCAGGACACACTGTCTGGAGGGTGGATGAGCCTTTTCAATCCTCCCCACACCGACTGGATTTGGCACCACTGTGTGATATATCACCACTGTAACAAAGCACTTCATGCAAGCTGGTCATATCCTATGGAAAAAGTCTTGGAAGGATGTTGCAGAAAAAAATATTTAACCTCTGTTCACCATTTTTCTGTAGATGTAAAGTATTGTGAAATTTGAGGAGATTTTCACAGCTTGGCTTGTGAAATTAATTTCCAGCTTGACAGATTGTGATTGCAGGATTTTGCACATCTGGATTTTGGCACAGGGCTGTGGGGGGGATGTCTCTGGCAGTTTGCCTCCCAGGACAGTGTGTTTGCTCCTGGGCAGTGAAGAGTCCAGTCCTGGCTGAGCTGTCCCCTGCCTGCCCTGCCCTGGGCACTGTCTGTTCCACAAGGGAAAGGCTGCACAGCTGGAGCTGGCCCTGACATCAGTGAGCTCAGGAATCACTTGAATAAAAATGTTAGTGATAAAGTCATGTTTTTAAAATTCAAGCAGTGTAAGGGATAGGCAAAAAAAAGTTGTAGGGGTATCTGTACTGTGTGTTCTGGGGAGCAAACAACTATTTTCACTTGCTGAAAACACTGTGTGCACAGACTACTGAGCACTCCTTCTGCCACATTGCACCGGTGGGCTGCTTTTCTGGCCAGGCATTTTGGGAGGGGGGTCTTCTCCTTCTGGAAATCTTCCCAGAGGGGAACCAGTTGATGAAACAGGACTTTAAGCCAGGATTTTTTCAGCATTCACACCACAGAAGGAGAGTTCACAAAGGTGGCAAGAGCCATGGACATTTTCCCTTGGTGCATTGCTGTGTGACAGCAAAGTCATCCTATTTTCCCACCAGGATCACACGGGATCACAGAACCTCCCTTATTCTTATGGCACTGGAAGTGTGGTTTCAAAAGAAAAATCCCTGTGCTGTCTGGAATGCTCAACTGTTGGGTACCAGAGTCGGAAAACATCCTGCCTGCCACGAACGTTAGGAAAACAGAGCAGCCTTGACTCCAGTGCCAAGTGGTTTTTTGGAAGGCTGACTCCCCTGAGAATAAAGGATATTGGTGTCCAGCCAAGTGGGCAGGCAGGAACAGGCCCTGGGCAAGACACTGGAATTTTGGTGGAGCCTGAAATATTGTCTGCTTGTTTGTATCAGCTTCTGACTTTGGTATTAAAGGTGAGCTGCCCAAAACGTGAGGAAATGGGCCACAAATTGATACAATTGGAATTATTTTTCTGGCTATATTTAGAGGAACTTAAAACAGGGATTTCCCTTTTTGGCGACTACAGTATCCAAGAGTAACTTAATATTTCTGTTAAAACCAGAAAAAATCCCCCAAAGGAAATTTCCTTTTTTTTTCCTATTGTACACTCAAAAATCCCTTCTTGTTGCAGAGAATTCATTTGGTTATTACTTCCCCATTTCCCTGTTTAGATGAATAGTCCTGGTCTAATTGCCCAGTAAGCATTCATCCAGAGTATTCCCCAGCTTCTACTTCCTATTGCACTTGAAGAAGTGCTATACTTCATCAAATGAGATTAAAACCCACTCTCAGGTGCTTGTATGAACTGCCTAAGCACACACAAGAGCAGGAACTTTATTAAATGCTTTTTCCCTTCTATTTTTATGCTAATAAACATCTAAATGTAATTTTGGGGTGTTCAGAGGTCCACTGCTGCTTGACATTTACCAGAAGTTGGGATGTTGGGGCAAAACTTGCATCCACTGAGCTCAAGAGACATTTTTGTGTTGATCTCAACAGAGCAGGGCTGGGTCTTTATTTCCTTGACAAGGCTGGAAAATGTTCATTCTGCCTCTTTCCCCTGCACACACATATTTTCTTTTCTTTACAGAAGGAGTCATTTGTCTTTATCTCACCATTCACCTCTCTCTCTGATTGCAGTTAATGGAATTGTCACCTTTATGGACTCATGCTCCATTTCTCAACCTGTCTGGACTTTGGCCTCCAAAGGTTACCACAGCTAGTGAAGTAATATGATTGAGTCTTTTTCGACAGATTTATGCAAGATTTCTTCTCCAGCAAGTGTCACATCTAGTCTAGTTCTGCAAAAGAGAATATTTCAAAGATGCCAACTGTCATCTAAACCCACTAAATTGTTCTGTGGGGTTGAGAGGACTGAGGGCCATCTCGGGCAATGCTGATTTACACTACCTGGAGCTGTTTCCCTGCTGCTTGAAATACGGGCTCTGGTTAATCACGAAAAAAAAAGAACATCCCTGTCTCCCAGAAAGCACATTTAAAATGGAATTTTCATTAGTTACTCTGTAATGAAAAGGCAAAAGGGTGTATTTTAAGTGAATCTGTCCAGAATCTTGGAAGAAAGGGGGGGTTACTTGAAGGAAAGCTACAACAGCCACATGCTAAACAGGAAAAATTGGTCAAGTTCCATTTAAGGCACATAAATCCACAGAATATTTTCGGGTTTACAGAAAGATTTTGGAATTATAGAGGATTCACTGCACATGTATCTGCTTCTCCTGCATTTGATACAAAGCACAAATTAATCATCATTATTCTGCACTAATATAACACCTCTTAACCCTCAGCTTTCAGAATATTTCAAAGGAGCAATGAATTAAGCCTCATGTGGGTTTGGGAATATGTGATAATCTAAACTTGGATTCTTTAATAAAAAGCATTTTCAGGTCTTTGAATTTGGAAGTTGTAAACTTATAATTGCTCTTGAAAATACCTTCCTTTGTCACTCACTTGGAAAGAAACCATGTGAGTACTAGAGAAGTGGGATGAAATGGAAAAATGTATAAAGCAAAAGTTAATAAATTTGTCTGTACTTATTTCTGTTATTTACAGGAGCAAAAAGAACCTGGGTAAATCGAGGTGCTAATGTGATATAGGTGTAAAAAAGGCAAATTTGATGCTTGTCTGTAACTAAAAGAGCGCAGGGGGAATTATTATTGCCACTGTACAAGTCTCTTGCAAGCCATCATTTAAATATTACACAGTATGTCAGACTCTGACCACTCACGCTCAGAAAAGATGAATTCTGACTGACAGAAGTGAAGGAAAAACTGTTAGATAATCCACAACTTGCCGTTATAAGACAAAATAAATGATTAATATTTAACTTGACAAAACAAATAAGGGACTTCAACGGTGTCTACAAATACATTGTGGGAGGAGAACAAGTATTATACTAAAAGAAACTGTCAGTGTATGACAATAGTGAGGGCAGAAATAAATTTGTTTTTAATGAACAGAGGAATGGGATTCTGGAACAGAATCAGGTCCATTTCTCTGGGCTTCATTTTACTGCTTTTCAGTTGAGCAAAACATTTGGGTATCTCCCCAGTCACGGTGCCTTGTTTTAGGCCACTGAGCTAATGTGAAACAGCTCATTTGTGTCTCTGAACTTTACACTTTCCCTGCATGGAGCGCTTCCCTGGCCAGAGTGGTGGCCCTATGCTGGGATTTGTCCCCACGGGCCAGGTCTGACTCAGATTGGGATGTGCACATCTCAGAAAACAGAAATTTAAATCTCACTACACCGCAGACCTCCTGGGGAGCAAAGCAGAGCATGAGGGCACACATTCACACCATGCTGTAAGATGACTTGGAATTACAGTCAGGAGGGGGTATTTTATTTTTTAACCTATCTATTCAAAGCAAAACATTTGGACTAATGAAGAAACCCCCAAAAACTTCAGTTTGGGTCAAATGTCCTTTCTAAGCCAGCCCAGACACAAGGTATTCCCAACGGAAAAATCAATTTTCACCCAGATTTCAGTTTGGTATAAGCAGTGTTTTCCATCAGAAAATCATCCCAACGGAAAATTCCTAACTGGTTCTAGTACAAAGTGACTAGCAAAGCTCTCAAAATGATTCAGTGGCAAGGCTGGAATGAGAACCCACAGCTCCTGACCACGAACCCTGTGCTCTAACCACGAGACAAACACTCATCTTTCCCTGAGCAAGGTTGTTCCTGCAGCATTTCTGCTCGGGCCGAAGTGGGAATACTCTGGAAATGTTGCAAGATAACTTTTTTTTTTTTTTTTTCTCTGCAAGATTTCCTGTTGTAGGATATTTGGGGGGTAACGGGAAAAATCCCTGGTGGCTCCCTGGGGCCAGAAGTGTTTGGACGTGATGGGAATGTGAGGGCTGCTCCTCCCTGCGTGGGCTGAGGAGGGTCACGCAGGGGTGTGGTGGGATCTGGTCCCAAACCATGGAGTGCTCAGCCACGGCTGGCCCATGGGTTGGACTCGATCATCTGAGAGATCTTTTCCAACCTCACTGATTCTGTGATTTCTGTTTTCCAGGGATGCATTTGAGGGCATCCCACTGCCCCATCCTCTATCTGTTTTAAGCAAAGCTTAACTAAACCCAGGGTTTTCTTCCTCACATCAGCAACTCTCCAGCTTTTCAGGTAAAACTCTGAGAGCGACCCCACGCAGAAAACCGAACTCACGGCTTGCAGCCCCGTTTTACTCATTTAAGAATCATTTACATTACATTTAAGGAGGGTCGGAGTGAGATGTCCTGACCCCTGACATTCCCTCCTGTTTATTTATTCTTCTATATGTTTTTCCGTAGTTATTGGCCTGTATGTTTTTATGTATTTATTCTTCTATATTGTATATGTTCTTCTCAGTGGTCTCCACGTGGCTTCTTGCACCGCTTCTCCGACCCCCGATATTCGCAGCCGTGTACGGGGCAGCAGGGCTGGAAAACCGGATTTATCATCCCTTTACCAAACCGCGCCAACCCGCGCCTTGTTCCCGGTTCAGGCCCGGGCGAAGGGCGCTGCCCGGCCCGAGCCGCCGCTGCCCTCAGCCCCCGGCGGCGCCGCCGCTTCCCCCGCCCGCCCCTTCCCGGCGCAGGCGCAGCCGGCCCGGCACGGGGGAAGCCCGGCGGCTTTCCCGGCAGCGGCGGGTTCAGGGGACGTCCCCGCCGGGGTGTGCAGGCCCGGGCAGTGCCGGGGGCACAAGTAAGTGATGGCTGCAGAGTAAGTGACGGCGCTGGCCAGGCCGCGGCGGCCCCCGGCCCTCAGCGCGGCCGCCCGCGGGGGGAGCGCGGCGCGCGCTGCCTCAGCGCGGCTCCCGCCCCTCTCCTTGCCCTTGTTCCTGCCCCTTCTCCGCCGTGACGCCCGGAGGGTTCCGTCCTCCTCCGTTAGGGCTCGGATCGTGCTGCTCTAAAAGGAGGTTTCGCGTTCGTGTTGTTGTTTAATCACCAGCGCCGCCTCCTTCCCCAGGGAGCCCCTTGCCGCGGGCCCCGTGCGGCGCGCCCCGGCCGTGCGTGGGCTGAGGGCTCGCATCGCCCCGGATCAGCTCACAGCCTGCTTTTCCTACAGCCGATGGGATTTACGTCCTTCTGGCTGTCCCGAGTTGTCTCCTGACGTTTTTGCACAGCACGGCCATGTGTAACTCCTACTGTAATTCAGTGGGAGCGGGGCTGTCCTTCACAGCCCACACTGGGGTGCCCCGTGCCAGGGGAGGCGTTTGATGCTGCCCAGGGTGGGCACACGGATCCTCCCAGCGCCTCCTGTGCTGTTGGATCACCTCCATCCCAGCCGCCTTCCCATGGGCTTCAAATACAGCTTCTGGTGAGGGAACAAGGAGAGGCACGCGCTGATTTCTTCATGATGTCGAGAGATAGGATGCGAGGGAATGGCCTGAACCTCTGTCAGGGGAGGTTGAGGTTGGATAGTAGAAAAAGATTCTACCCCAAAGGGTGGTCGAGTGCTGGAACAGGCTGCCCTGGAAGGGTCACAGAACCAAACCTTCCAGAGCTCAAGGGGATATTTGGACCATGCTCTCAGGCACATGGTGTGACTCTTGGGGTTCTGTGCAGGTCGAGAACTTGGACTCAATGATCCTTGAGTATCCTTTCCCAGCTCAGCTTTTTCTGTGATTCTGTGAAAGGGCAGCCCTCAGGTGACCTGACCTGGGCAAGTGGGACACGCACATCACTCACACACTTACCTAATCCTCCATATCCCCAGGAAATTTCCATAAATACAGTCTCCAGTCTCATCTCTCTGGCCCTGGTGTCCTGCTGCCACCACTGCCTCTCTTGTCCTCACGCAGGTCCCCTTTTCTGGCACCTTCACAGCCTTGTCTCCTTGTCATGTCCCTGTGATCCCAAGCAGCTCCTGGGCTGGCACAGAGCACACCCCAGGAGCCTGCTGGAATTTACTCGTGCTTGGCTCCAGAGCTGCCAACACGGCCGTGTTCCTCGCTGGTGCCAGGCTCTGCCCCGGTGAGGAACTGGTAACTTGGCAGATTCCTTCCCTGCTGAGGTGCCTGGGATTTGTTAGGAAGTTTAATAAACTTAGCACCAGTGCTCTTCTCTGGAGAGCACTTACGAAACAAATTCCAGGGAAGTAGAGGAAAGGGCCCGGTCATCTGAGAGGTTTTTAGAAAGTAATAAGCAGACACGTTGCTGGGAAGGTGGTCTTGTATTTAATTCCCTTGTATTTCATTCCCTTGTATTTCATTCTTGTGTATTTCATTCTTGTGCATTTCATTCTCGTGTATTTCATTCCCTTGTATTTCACTCTTGTGTATTTCATTCTCGTGCGTTTCATTCTATTTTCTTATCCTGGAAGACCATTTGCTTTAGTAGTTGAAGTTAACTTTTTTTTAAGTGTACTTATATATAATACAGAAACAAGGAAATTTTAAAGGCTCTGTAATGTTAATGGTCCCTTTCCTTCAGGAACGTGTATGAGCATTTGATAAAAAAAAGAGGCACTTACTTTTTCCTGGGAAGGGTGTCTGGGATAGGAGGATGAATGCAGAGAGAATTGGTTGCTTGTAGGGACAGCTGTTCCCAGCAATAAGAATCATGGCAGAAACAAATTTATAGTGTCAGGAGAGACTAAATAAACTAGTTCTATGCTAGGAAGTTTTTATGTGTATTCTTAGCCACTTCTGTTACTTCATTCTGTGTTTCTCAGTTAAATTATCATTTTAAAATGTTGGTTCTTTTGAATAAATAAATAAATGGTTTTGTGCAGAATTAGTGTTTCTTTTAACCTAAGTTAATATGCAACCCCACTTCCTCTTAAGTAGTTGTGACAGGAACTTCGGGGTGAGTGTTTTTGAAATTGCAGCCCAAATAAATGTTTAATTTTAAACTGACAGATTACTTGGGGCTGTCATTCTTCTCAGGCTTTTACTATGCAAGAGTGAACAAATCTTGTAAAATAAACCGTGTATTGGGCTTATGGACACATGTTTGCTTCTGGGCTGAGCATCTTGAAGTGGTTTGTAGCATGTCTTTAAAAATTTATTTCACTGTTGCATCTACTGCTGGCCTAAGTGCTCCAGTATCTGCCAGGAGTAATTATAGGCAGTTGGTTCAGATGTTGCTTAAATGTGTAAGCCTTGATGGGAAATGCAGTGGATTTCAGCCAGAATGCTAATTTTGATGTTTTATCATTTCATAAAACTGTGAACTCAGAACAAATTATTTTTATACTGATCTGCTGATACGTAATCATAGGGTTAGTGCCAGATTCAACCGTGATGTAGCACCAGAATCTAAAGATGGGATTAAAGTTAGAATATCAGCACTACCCTAGGTTGGCTAATTTGTATCCACAGTGGCATAATGGCTGTATTTACCCATGTAACCTGCGCAGAAGCTCCTGGTGCCAAGGCTGGTTTGCTCCTGGAATGCAGTTTAAAGCTGTTGTGTGAATTGTAATTGTGCCTTTTGAATTGCATGCTCCTCCAAATTACATTTTATGACTTACACAGATATTTTGCAAATTCACATTATTGTGAATTTGTGTTTATAGTATACTGCTTTTTTGTGGCGTGTGTTTTGTTGGTTGTTCAGGGTTTTATTTGTTTCTCCATTTTCATCATGGCGTAGAGTGAAAAAAATAAAAAAAGTCGCAGTACATGAATCAATTTTACAGGCAAAGAGCAGAGATTATTCTCTCTGTCCATCATGAGTAGGTTAAAGTGATAGAGACACAGTGATATGAAAGATCTTCCTTAGCATTAGATTGATAAGCTGGTGGATCCAAACACTTGGGTCCATCAGTCATTTTGGAGCCTGTTACCTCTTTTCAACTAGTCATGAAGCTGCTACAGCCAGAATTTATGTAATAATTAGATGGCATTTTTTTCCCCCTCAGTCAATGTAAACAAGATAGTGTCTTCTTTCAGGGCTCCAGGCATTCTGCAGAGTCATTTGGGACACGTCTGTCTGCCAGGTCATTAGCACAGCCTTCGGGGATGTGTGCAGCTGCAGCGTCAGAGCAGGGAATGGATCTCAGGAGCGTGGTGTGCATGGCTTGTACCCACTGCTGTTGCCAGGCTGGGGAAAAGAAAGGGTGCTGCTATAAACCCCCCTTATTCCTTAGGTTTTCCTGCCTGGGAATTGTGTCCTGGCACTTATTGATCAACATTTCCTCTGCTGGACAAATTGGAGGTCATGGCAAGTGTTCAAAATCCTGCCGTCGTGTGAGTGCACCTGTGATGTTCGTGAGTGTCAGGGGTTTAGTCCTGAACTCCTGGTAGTGGCTGGGAGGTTGCCACTGATGGATGCAGGATCAGAATCTGCTTTTGAAGTGATGGCCGAGTCCCAGCAGGGCCCAGAGCGCCTGGAGGGAATCAGAGCTGTTGGTTTTCCCCAAAGGCTGTGTCTTCTCATCTCATGTTGCTTGTTCTCACAGCCCTCTTCTCAGCCTTCCTTTTTCCTGAGAGCTCCTCTCGACAGCTGCTTCCTGCTGTTCCCGGGGTTAGGTGGGCTCTGGAGCAGGGGGAGCTGCACTTGCTTCCTTTGTGTGCCAGAGTTACAGGCCAGGGAACACCGGGGCAGCCGGGTGTGCTCGGCGTGCTGCTGCTGCTGTGCAGAGCCCATTGGGGCATGCAACAACCACAGTGGAGCCAGGGGCAGCAGTAGCCTCAAGTCTTCCCCAAGCATGTAGCTGGAAGAGCTCCTGGATCCCTCTGTTGTGAGCTCAGTGTTTTGGGACCTGCCTGAAGTTGGAAATCCCTGGCCAGTTCCATGCTCCTGAGCAGCACCTCTCAGCGGACACCAGCACATTGTTTTCCTACTGCAGCATCTCTGAGCAGTATCTCCACTTGCCCACAGTGGCCTTGGCATTATTTCTTGCTGTTTATTAGTAGTGACTACTGCAGTGTGTTATGGTACTGCCACTTCCATGAGCACTCAGAGCAGGAAAATGCTTTTTGTCTTACCTGACCATGTAGGGATTGTGAGTTCAGCTCAATACCCGTGGTCTGTGGATCGCTGCAGTGAGGCCTTTGGGGGTGATTCAGAATGCGATGGAATCATGACTGTATGGAGAAAGTAAATACACAGCAATTGCTTAATGTCTCCTCTAGCTCAGGAACTCAGACACATCAAACAAAACTAGCAGGTGGCATGCTCAGAACAAACCAAAAGGCTTTTTCCTGCATTGTTTGCACAGAACTTTATAACTCGTTACCACAGTAGTTTGCAATTAGTAAAGTTTCCCTGGATTCAGAAAGAGCACAACCAAATTTAGAGAGGAAAAAGCCTTCAAGGTCTGCTAATCCTAAAGATAAAATTTCTGGCTCAGGAAGTGCCTTTACTATAGATAGCAGGAGGAAAGGTGTCCTGGGGAAGTACTGCTGGATGAAAAGGGCAGGCATATGCTTTTCTTACGGCTTCTCCTGTTTGTGGAGGATCCTGGGCTAATTGGACCTTTCATCTGACCCAGCACAGCCATGCTCTGCTCTTTAATCAGGGGCCAGAATGCCATTGCTCCTGTTTGATCATCAGTACCACAGGCTGTGTCTGCCTGAGTGAGCTGAAGACAGGAACTGGAAGGAGAGCAAATAATTCTTCTCTTAGTACAAACTCTTCTCAAGCAGAATATAGAGAAAACCAGCTCTGCTGTTGGTATTTATGGACACTGGTCATGCTGACATCCTTCTGCTGTTCCCGAGTGAGATAACTATGTAGGCAGTAGAAGTTGAAAAT